AGATCACCGAGAACGGCGAGTTCCGAAACACCGCAGACCACTAGCCCACCCAGCATCACCGACCTTCTCCCTGTCTGTGCACCCCACCCCGGAACAGCACCAACCACCAGGACTGGACGTCTCCGAAGGACAGCGGATTGCCTCCCTGAATGCCTCCTTGGTGGGGCACCAGTCCCCCACCCCCACTGCACCATTTCTAGGAGGGAGAGGGGGGATCCTTAGCTGCCCCTCTTTCCTTCCTGTTGGGGTGCTGCCCCCTGTGACCCCCAGGGACCCTTGCCCCAGGACACCACCTACCCCACACTGAACCCTTCACTCCGGGGTGCTATCCCCATCCTCTGCCTCATCGTTCCCCTGAACACTGGGGGACAGACCCTCACCCCCACCCTGGGGGTGTGGCACCTCCAAACTTTCAACTTCAGGGTGATTTTTTAGCAGTAACCAGAGCTGACAATCTAACTCCCCTCCATTGCCCCATTTTGGCCTCCCCTGTCCCCCTTGTTATGGGGAGGGGACCCCGGGTGAGGGGGCCCTATTACCCCTTGATTTCTCAGGAGCGTCTGGGGGGGCTCAGCACGCACAAACTCCTTCTCCTCCTACCACTCTTAAATTTACTCCCTCCCCACCCAGAACCCAGATGGGGTGGAGGGGCCACCGGGGCAGGGTGGGGGCAGCAAGGGGGGAATGGGAGTTGTCTCCCCTTCCTCCCACACCTGATCTGCTCTTGGCTGGTCCCAGAGCGGGGTGAGGGGGCTGATGCCCCCCCCTCCCCCAGTGTGTTGGGTGGGGTGGAACTGAGGTTAGGGTGAGGGGTTAGGGTTTAGGAGGGTGTGTATGTTGGGGAGGACAGACTTGCTGATCTGCCCTACCACAACACACAGTACCCCCTGCCCCTCTCCTCTCTTCTTGGTCTCTACTCCCAGGGGGAGGGGGGAACTTACTCTAGGAAAAGCCATGTCTCTCTCCCCCAGGGTGGGGGGACCTGTGTGGAAGGGGGGTATTGGGGGCCCCTTTCCATGACTCTGTCCCCTGGGGGAGGTAGGACAGGGCTGGGCTACCCTCTCTTCTCCCCCCCTCCAATCTCCCTCCACCTCCCTCCCTCCCGCCAGCTCCACAATTTTTCGGTGTTTCTCTGTACATAGCTCTCTGGCGGGATAGGGGAGGTAGGATGGATGGGGTTTGGGGTGGGTAGTCATGGGAGGGGAGAATCCCCTCTTGACACCCCTCTTCCTTGACTGCTGTCCCCTACCCAGCCTTGCCCCCTCGCCCCTTCTTGCGTTTGGTATTGAGACTTCGCAGACTCCACCCTTCTTTCTTTTGTATGGACAGTTCCCCTTCAGTCCCCTCTCCCTAATCACATACACCCAGCCGGGGCCAAATTTATACTTATATAAAAGTTGTAAATATGTGAAATTTTATCCCTGTGCCCTTTCCTTGCTTTCCTAACCTCAGACCCTACCCAGAACCCCCTTTCCTTGAAACTCTCTTATTTGGCTGTTGTAATTATCTGGGGTTTGTACTGTACATATCTGGGGTGTGTGTGTGTGGGCTGGGGGCAACCCCTGTGTACAGAGCTTCCTGGCCCCCTCCCCCATGCTACCCTCCCCACCTACCACCCTAAGGGTAGGGAGATGTTCCTCCTACCCATTTTATTTTGTTTTCTCGTTCTCCCTCCCTCCCCAACCCCACTCCCTTCCTTCTTTACCACCCTCCCCCCACTGTCCCTTGTTCTCCACTCCCAGCCCCATTTCCTTTTTTTCTGGAGTGTGTGGTGAAACAGAAAAATCATGTTTAATAAACGGAGATTGTTCTTTTATTGCTATGCTGACTTTCCTAAGCTGGGACCTCCAGAAGGACCAGCAGGGTGGTAAGATCTGCTTTTTGAGAGGAGGCGACAGCCTAGGAGAAACTGTGTGAAGACATAGTCTCCTCCTGGAAGACCACTCTCCCACCCAGAGAGATTTGTTTTTGAGCAGAGGTGTTTAAAAAACAACAACATTCTACTGAGTAAATGTAAAGATCTAATTGGCTTTATTCACTGATTCATGAATTGGACAGCATCCCATCCAAGCAAATAGAAAGGAGCTCAACGCAGCTGCTGAAAAGGAAAGGAGTTTAAAGGTGGAAAAAGGTGGGGAAAGGAAATTATTAGCTAAGAAGGCATTGTTTTAGGCAAGGTCGCCCTCCTAAGGGACATGGAAGGGGTCTATCAGGTAGATCACCTCACTAGTACTTCAGGTAATTCCAGGCTGATTGGTTCCAGGTAACATTCCGCGGAGAGTGGAACTGCAATAAGGTTAAGTATTAAATCTTAGTTTGCAGACATGGGCTTGGCACAAGTAACTCCATTTTGGACCTGCTGTCTGTCCTTCGCAGGGTTTTGCACTGTCCAAAAACCCAGTCTAGCTCTCTCCTCACCACTGCCCCACTTAACCCCAAGTAAAGAGGCCAAGGAACAGCAGCACTATCTGACAAAAGATTCCAAGTATCTATCTACAAGCAGCCTTTAAAGAAAATACCTAGGAATAAGGTTTAATTGCTGGTTAAAATGTCTCCGTGCGGAATGGAGGAAGGCGCATGGGTTCCTTAACCGGGTTCCAGCCCCAGACCCACAGGAGGGCAACACGTACCTCGCAGGGCGGAGGGAGGACACAGGGTGCTGTGGACAACGCCCAGCCCACACAGCAGGTGCCCACTTAATTTCGCCCTCTTCGCACCCAGCGGGGCGCGGACGCAGCGCCCGGCACGAGGCGACACTCTAGCCGCGCCCCCGACTGCGCAGT